CATGCTTCCCAAAGGCACTTTCTTCTCAGAACGAGTCGAGACGGTATGAGGAACTCTGCGTACGCCTGATGTTCCCAGATCTCTCTGAAATGGTTCATGAAACTCGAAAAATAACTATCAATTAAATTATTAGAAAAATTAGTATTATTAGTGTTCCGGAATGAAGAATTTAGTCCTCTTTAAGACTATGTCAACGAAAAATTTCAGTTCGCGACGAGAAAATAAAATTGTTAAGTAAAGTTACTTTATGGATACCTGGTATAACGCCAAGTGCACTCTCGGGTGAACACCAGCTGTACGCGAGGCTGTTACTGCCAAGTAGGTAGCCTTTTCGCTGGGTGCATTAAGTTGGAGACATCTGGCGGTAGGAAACAGAAACATGAGCTGGGGGAAGACCAACGTGCAAGCTTCAATGCACTTCTTAGGGTTGGTTGATTAGTGAAGCGTTAACTCCGGGTCAGAATAGCACAGGGTTAAACACGGGACTAGATGATCCGCGGATCGATGAATGGCAGACTAAAGGAGGGTTAGGCTAAACAAAGGAACAAAGCGGAGGCTACATTAACCCCACATCTAGGGTGGAACTAAGTTGTTCCCTCCGTGATGAGAAGCCTAAACCTACGGGAGGACGACACGCCCTGTTGTTCTACTTTGTTCGCAATGCTAGAAGTAGCCATTCGTGAAATGCATGAGAAAATCTCTCGTCATTCATGTCGCTGCAACTAGCTGAAAATGAACTCCCCGTGGTTTTATTCCTGATAGAAGTACCAACTCTCAGGAAGAAGCGGAATAATGCAGTCATATTCCAACACTAGGTACAGCCCTGTAACATTGGTAACATGCGAAATGTTCAGTCATCCCTGGAATTACCCCTCTGTGACTATTGGGGATGAGATCTCTAGCTGCAAATGATGCATCATTTTTGCTGGGATATTGTCTCACTCGGGGGTATCGTTATTAACGCAGTTACTGTTGGTCCATCACTTTTTTCTATTAAATCGGTCAAACTTTTAACAGTATTTACGAAATTTCCAATATTGTCACATTGACAGTACCGAAATCGTACTTGCTTACCCTCAAATACAAAATATTGCTACATTTCCCCGAGGCTGGGTCCTTATATTTGTGGGAAAATTTTGGAAAAATATGTGATATTACATGTTTTTGCCTATTATTACCTGCTAACCCACTGTGGGGTGTACCTTTGCTATATGAAAGTTACAGATCGGCCTCGCGAAAGGGGAGAAGGAAACTTTCAAGGAATATCGGAGATTCGCTCTCGTCTTGCCATCTTCAGGGAACATGTGGAGACGAGAGTTGGCCGCGGTACTCGTCAGGGGACGGCGGCTTCGCTTATCGCAGTGCCTGCCGTCCGGTGCCGCGAATCGAGGGATTTCAAGCGTCCATGATTAAAAACGGACGATTCGTCAGTTCGCCGCCACTCGCGTTCGCACGGCTTTGCAAAAGAAGTCACTCCCGCAGTTTTCTCGTGGGGGTCCATCTCTCAAAATGCAGAACTGCAAAATGACGTGCTCTTCCGTCACTGTTTACATCACCTTCAGTCCTTTCGGAGCGCTCATAAAAAAGCCAGAAACCGACGAATGCGAAAGTTATTCAAGGGTTTTATTGCTTCCCCGTATCGCAGTTGCATTGGTAGATGGCAAAAAAAGTGTGATATAACGGGAGAGGTGAACTTCCAGTAAAAAAAATAAATGATTACCCTAGTGGCATCCCAATATTGAATCAATATTGCCCGGCAATGAATGTACGTATTGGCCCATTATTGGGGTTACTACTGGGCCCCGTATTGGACCGAAATTGACGCTGTTCATTACGCAGTGGGGATTTTCCCATCTGCAGCATTAGTACTGTCTCTACTAGTCCCGTATAAGCGCCGCCCATGCACAGATCTGTGTGCATGGGCGGCGGTTGGACAGTAAATGGAGAACGGAACCTGCGAGGACCTTCAAGGTTGTGAAACTCCTTTTTTATTATGGTCATTTCCTCCAGTCCTCCTTAACCATTACTTATCCGAGGGTGGGTAAAAAGAAAAATCCCGAAAGTATGTTAATTGTTGGTATGCATATATTGATGGGTGATTTGTTACGTAGGTGTATCTGTTTCGTGCTATTAGAAACGACAATTTCAGCGAAAGCCGTGCGAATTTTGAAATGAATGCTTCGTTTGTTGTGGGTTGCCTCGACCAAGTGAGGGTTAAGGCATCTTTAAGCCTTATATTCAAGGGAATCTCATCCAGTGCGACGTGGCCTGACTGATTTGCACAACGGAATTCCCGTGGAAGAACATCAGAACTTTTCAAGATGGGAAAGATCTCTGGGACTTGACGCCTGACTCCGCGATCGATTGCGAGAGCGTAGGGGCCTGCATGCGCGCCGTCGGCGAGTGGCGCTTCGACAAATGGCTTTCTCGGTCTTTGGATTTCGCGAGTAGCACTGCTTCTGTCGCAGGTACAAGTCAAACTGCAACTGCGTTGAAACTACTGTTAAGTTATTCGAACCGCTCCTCAAAATTCACTCGACTGAAACATCACTCGGCTCAATTTGAATGCGCATTGATTGTTATACCGACGGTGCTCCGTAGACGCCGTGCCGAACGAGCCGTCTGATAACCCAGCGATTCCACCTCTTATCAGACCCCCATCAGACCCCCCTTCGGCCATGGCATCGGTATAAGTCTCTTACACGAGGGAGAGAGTAGGAAGACTCGAAACGGGCCTCGTTTTTTTCGACATCCAGGAAAGGGAACCTCGGCTTCGCCGCGGTCCCCCTCTCCTGGATATCGGAAAGAACTCGCCCGCCGGCCGTAAGTGAGACCCGTTTCGCTTATCCGACTCTCCCCCCCTCATGTGACATATACTTATTGTAAGATTTCCAGTTCGATCGTTGCAATCCATCGACTCGTCTTCCAACCGATCGTGTGTAATTTTCGATACCGGGCATTGCCGGGAAACCCAGAACTTCGAGTCACAATGATGGTTTCGGCATCGATGATCACAAGGTATCGATGGAAGGAAGCATCCCGATCCGTGCCCTTCCCCACGGAATCTCGATACCGTGGGGCGAGAAAGTGGGGAACTATGTCGACAAATACTGTTATCATCCATTGGTCATTGCAGAAACCGTGAAAGGATCCACTTCGGAATTCCTGATTTCGACTTCATGCGGATGCCCTTCCCCAAGTGACAAGGTCGAACGTAAGAAAGATAAAAATAAGCCCCAGGCAAGGGAAGAAAACGAGCGAAATGGGAGATTTCGCTCGAGAGGCGTCAGAGAAAGGGAAACTCGCCGGTTGAATGTCGTCTCTGCTCGACCATATGGAATGACGGCAGGCCCCGCTTCAAAGCACTGTGCATCTTTTGTATCGACGCTTTCTACGTGTTGCTACCGCGTGTCTCCGTGTCTTCGAGAGCAAGCTGCTTCCTGCTTCCCGTGTCCGTCTTGTTTTGGCTTCCACGAGCGTTAAATATAACTGAAGAAGTGGGAGAAGTGGATTGTGAATCGATACGTCTGCGTTAGGTGCCTTATTGTGAGGTGCGTGATGGATGAAGCGTGAGTCCCTCTACACTGGTCGTCTGCCTTATCATTTTGCTCTAGAAATTCCGAAATATTAAAAAATTAAACACTCCGATGGATTCTCATTTCCTTCCGATAACTCTTATCCTTAGGAAAGCAATAAGGCAATAATGATATATTTCATAGTATCTGGACTCAATGGGAACATGTCAGTATTACGATAATAATTGTCCATATCGGGAGTACACCAAGACGTTTGAGTGTCACACTGAGAGTAATAGTGCTCTCAACTGCGCAGTTGAGAGTAACACTGCGCAATTGCATCACGATCCAGATGCGAAAACAGCAGCGATGAAGGCCAGGTGACGGAAGAGTGTCTGCCCCTGCTGATCCATCGCCCAAGGTCGTTCAGCCTTGTCACTTGGGGAAGGGCATCCGCATGAAGTCGAAATCAGGAATTCCGAAGTGGATCCTTTCACGGTTTCTGCAATGACCAATGGATGATAACAGTATTTGTCGACATANCCTGTGCCCCCCCCCCCCCCCCCCCCCCCCCCCCCCCCCCCCCCCTCCCCCCCCCCCCCCCCCCCCTTCCTCTCGCTCCCTGTCCCTTGTCTCTTTCCTCATCTAGCCACGAATACATGGAAGAGATTGTGGTCGAACGGGATAAGCTGATGGGCGATCGGTGGAGGTTCGTATTGGCATGCGTACTTCTCAACATGTCAGGTTGATGTCCGTGAGTAACAATTACACTTCGCGGAGTAATTTGTTAGCGATTGATGTCGGAATGTAGGATGAGAAAAAATGTGCCAAGCAGTAACTGGCGATCGAAATGTTTGTGAATGGGAATCCTCGGCGCATTCATGATTTCCTTTTCAATCTATGGAAATTATTTAGAAAAGCCATGGACTCCAATCAGGTCTCTCTTCTGCCGGAGGGAAATGCAAACGATAGCTCATTTCAACGAAAATCTTATCACGACGGTATACTGTTATATTAAGCTAGTTTGGAGCGTGTTACTTCTATAATGTTTCGTCTTTCTCCGTTTGGGATACCATTTGGCACTCATAATTGTAATTTTAAGACCGCGAATAATGATGAATAATAGTAAACGAATGAAGCTTCTCGCTTCGAAGACGCGCTCAAAGAGGTGAGATGAAAGTCTTCACATTTTCTTTCATGACATGGAGAGGGACATGGACACGATGAGGAGTCGAGAAACCAGTCCACGGTTTTACAAGTAGAATCGTGCATCTCGCCGAGAGAGACTACTTCTTCGAGCTCTTATGATGCAGCATCGACGGTCATAAATATTTATCTAAATATCCATTACTACCAAGAAACCAAAACCAAGGGCGTAGCGCCCGCCACCAGCACTTAGGAAAGGATGACATCACCTCGGAAAGCGCATTGAGCTGAAGCCAAACTGCAGTTAATCCTCGATTATCGCGCCACACTTTCGGGAGAATGTTTGTCTTTCGCAATTTTATGCACAAAGGTTAATGGTGCATTTTGGCGTAGGGTGAAGGTGGGGGAGGAGGGATACGAGTGTCCACGTCCTTAAAAAAAAAAAAACTTAATCCTGAGAAAATAGTTGCAGCCGAATACACAAAACATAACGTACCATATGGACATCATAACGTGAAAAATATGTACCTCACTGTACGTTTCGGCTTTGCTGTGTACTTCCCATCCATATTATTCAGATGATCCTCACAACGATAATTCTGTCGACTAGATCACACAGAAGTCCAAGCTGATGGAAACACTCATATGGCTCTACCTCTCGTTCACCTTCCTGCCAATGGTAACGGGACAAGAAAATTGCCCAAAAGTTGACGAAATCCTCCCTTGCGCTTGCTTCAGCCAAGAAAACGGCCTCGGGTTTGACGAAACAGACGTGGACTGTTCGAAGGCTCGGACGAGCGATGAGATCTCTTCCGCCTTCAAGAGAGCCTCCTGGCCAGCCACTGTCTTACGGTGAGTCTTCTTTCCATTTCCAGGATTTGTTTCACTAGCTCCTTGCAGCATCCTCAGCTGCCGAAAGGCGCAACATGTGCCAGGGAAACGGACAAGAGGGAAGCAGTTTTCCTGTATGATAATATGGGAGTCTCTCATTAGGTAAGGAGATAGATTAGGAGTTGACTCAATTTCACTCTTTACTAAAGACCTTAAAAGTATGAATCCCTATTTAACTTTTACAATCGATGCAGCAGGTAAAGTAAAATCTGGCAGGACAAGTTGGGTATGGCGTTGACCAACAATTTTCATAGATGATCGTCATTTCGATTTATTCCGTATGTATGCAAAAAACTTTGCATTCGATTATGAAAACTGTTTTGTTTTCTGCGTCCAAGATTTGAAGTTTCTTGTGGTTTATTGATGGTGCTGTGACTGCATCATTCCTCAACTTCCTCCGTGCAGGGAATTCAGACTTCAGCATAACGTGATGGTGAAGGAACTCCCTGAAGGAGTCGTAGGGAATGTCTCCTTCCAATACATTCGAGTGAAGAACACCGCTATCGAAACAGTCCATCCATCTGCCATTCTGCCATCGAAAAATCGACTTATAGAGCTGGAAATTCAGCACAGCCGCCTGAGGGAGTTTCCATTCGAGATTCTTTCTGAATTGTTATCTCTATCTACACTCCACCTTTGGAACAATACTTTGACCTCCATCCCCGCTCTTCAGAGCAACAGTCTCAGGGTACTATACCTCCCATTCAATAACATCGTGAAGGTGGAGGAGAATGGGTGGAATACTCCTAATTTGAGGACATTTGACATCGGTTAGTAAATAAATTTTGCGTTGCTATTATTGAAGCAATTGTAGCAATGGATTCTGATTTTGGAAATGTCCAGTTCCAACGAATGATGGATATATCTTGCAACTTTCATGCAGGATTTATTGTGATATGTCGTCAATGTAAATGATAAATAGAAGTCGTCAGAAGACGATAAATTATAATTCTGAACATATGTTCAGAATTATAATTGAATCTCCGACTTCTGTGGACAGTATAGTCTCGTTTCATGAGCATATTTGCACTGTTTGAAATAGCTGTGAATCCCTCCATGAAGTTTCCCTCCGGAGTGCTGAAGGGCATGAAAAAGCTGGAGCTCCTTTGGTGTCCTAGATCCAATCTTGGCCCCTCGCTTTCAGCCGGAATGTTTCAATTCCACAGCAAGACTTTAAAGACGGTTGGACTCGGTGAGAACTACGTAGGAAGACTGGAGCCAGGCGCCATCACGGGTACGAATTTCTACCTGAAATATTTCACGAAACAAACTGCGTCTGCGACTTCCTAAAGTCGAGGTTGATATGTAACTCTGCATGTGTCTATTTCGAATCTATTTCGCCGTGCTTCTCTCATGGGATAGGTGACGTTAATTTTGGTTTTGTGGTGTACTAGAGAAGCGGATGCCTGAAAAACTGAGATTGCGCAGAGGAAAAATAAGTTAACGATAATAAATATTTGCATATTTGAATATGGTTTGGTATTTCGGTCCTCAATTAACCTGAGAGAGGAAGAAAAGCAATTCGCCTCTTCAGGTTTCTTCGTGCTACTGTGTGGGAATTTTATGTCTGCTGCTAATTCCAATCTCGGTACTAATGGTCCTGTTTTCCCAATTTTTTTTAGAAGTATCAATTATCTTTATTTACAAGATATGCATTTATACAAAAGGGTAGAGTGAGGTGAGGTGGGATATACAGGTTGTCCCATAGGTTACAGGTAGTTCCAAAATATAATTCCCAATGATATTCTATCATTCAGTTCATGTTACTTATTTTTTGTGCAACTGTTCAGTAGTCTTGATTGTGAGGTGAGGTGGGATATACAGGTTGTCCCATAGGTTACAGGTAGTTCCAAAATATAATTCCAAATGATATTCTATCATTCAGTTCATGTTACTTATTTTTTGTGCAACTGTTCAGTAGTCTTGATTTTTAAAACGGTAAAATGACTTATGGGACACCCTGTACATTGGAGAATAAAGAGAAAGATGATAGTCGGACGGTGCATGCGGAACGTTTTGGCAGGACATGGAGATCTAGGGTTTTATTAATCCCCCTCATTTATTAATTATTATTTATTAAGTTTTATTAATTCCCCTTATCCCCCTTTGATTAATTCTAGGGTTTTATTTATTCCCCTACTTGCTACGACACGGATACAATCAGAGTTGGAGGCGCAGTCACTGCTCTGCCTCTAATGGGGGTCGTGATCTCGTACTTGTTTCTCTTTTCGAACCTGGGATACCCTGCCGCGCATTTTTTTTGGGGGGGGATGTTACAGGGTTTTTCAAAAAAACGTTTACCATTTCAATAGGCCGTGAATCCTTTAATATTATTAATATTCGCTTTAAACAAAAACTAAATGATAGAAGAACTCCTAAACTATCATTTTCTTACCATGGTTGTGCAGTTTATGGATGAACAGCGAATTTCCATTGTTGAACGCTTTTTGGAAACCAAATCACCAAAAGCTACCCAACTTTCATTTCAGAGGTTTTCAGGCAAAAACCCACCATCAAAACCCACTATCACGAAATTAGAGAATAAATTTCACGGCATCGGGACAATTAAGAACAAAAGTCCTGAAAATAGTGGGAGAAAGCGAACGGCTAGAAAAAACATTGCTGTTGAAGATATGAGAAACGCAATAATGATGAGTGCAAAGAAATCAGTTTCATCATCGTTCTGCAGAGACATATTTATCTTCAACATCAGTTTGGCGAATTCTGGAAAACGACCGGAAATTATTCCCATACAAACTCCAGTTGTAACAGACGTTGAGTGATGGAGATGAGCGGTGTTTTTCTTGTAAACCCTCTATGAAATGAAATTTGGGTAGCTTTTGGTGATTTGGTTTCCAAAAAGCGTTCAACAATGGAAATTCGCTGTTCATCCATAAACTGCACAACCATGGTAAGAAAATGATAGTTTAGGAGTTCTTCTATCATTTAGTTTTTGTTTAAAGCGAATATTAATAATATTAAAGGATTCACGGCCTATTGAAATGGTAAACGTTTTTTTGAAAAACCCTGTAACATCCCCCCCCAAAAAAAATGCGCGGCAGGGTATCCCAGGTTCGAAAAGAGAAACAAGTACGAGATCACGACCCCCATTAGAGGCAGAGCAGTGACTGCGCCTCCAACTCTGATTGTATCCGTGTCGTAGCAAGTAGGGGAATAAATAAAACCCTAGAATTAATCAAAGGGGGATAAGGGGAATTAATAAAACTTAATAAATAATAATTAATAAATGAGGGGGATTAATAAAACCCTAGATCTCCATGTCCTGCCAAAACGTTCCGCATGCACCGTCCGACTATCATCTTTCTCTTTATTCTCCAATGTACAGGGTGTCCCATAAGTCATTTTACCGTTTTAAAAATCAAGACTACTGAACAGTTGCACAAAAAATAAGTAACATGAACTGAATGATAGAATATCATTTGGAATTATATTTTGGAACTACCTGTAACCTATGGGACAACCTGTATATCCCACCTCACCTCACCTCACCCGTAAACTGCACAGCCATGATAGATTATCTGTAAGAAGAAGGTAATTTAGGAGTTCTTCTATCATTTAGTTTTTGTTTGAAGTGAATATTCATAATATTAAAGGATTCACTTCAACTGAAATGGTAAACGTTTTTGAGAAACACCCTGTACAATAGCAATGAGAGAGCATTGGTTGTCATCATATCTATTTTCATCAGGAATTATGCTATTTCTTTTTTAAAAAGTATGACTGGAAAAGTTTCAGGTGGACTTCATTTCGTGATTCACATTTATTTCAGGGGTCGCGTCGGACACGGAAGTGTTTCTAGATGGAAACAAGATATCTGAATTATCCGAGGAAGTCTTTAGACCACTTCTGGAAGTTCTTTCGAAGGGAAAGGGATTCCTCAGTGTTAGAGGTGAGTTGTACTGTCCGTTTAACCTGTTCAACCTGTTCGGTTTGATGGCATTTTCCTTCTATCCCGGATTATAGAAAATCCCATTGACTGTGATTGCGGCTTGGCCTGGTTGATTTCCGATTCGAATTTCCTGAGAAGCGTCCGTGGAAACTGTGAAGATGGAACTGACTTAAATAAGCTGAACCTGGATTGTCTGGCTTGTCCTTACGAGTGTGTGAGCCTGCAACAAGTGCCTCTCTGCACGCCGGGAACAGTGACGACGTCGAACGCGGACAGTTGTAAACCGGGAGAATTTTGTTGCCAGCCAAGCATTCCCACGACTATTGCGACGTCGACTGCAGCGATGTCTTCGTGTCCTGTCGATTTGGGTTTTTCGTGTTTAAATGCCGCAAATAAGACATTTTGCGATCAGGGCGCAGTCTTACCCCTCCCCTGTCCTTTAAAGAATGAAGTCTGTTGTCGGATTCGTGCGCCCAGTGAAAGTCCGCCGCTGCCAGGTAAGACCAAGGATGAACCGTACCCATCCGATAACAATTATCGTTATTGCTTCGAGGTGGCCTCTTAGCCTGCGCGTTGCACGGTATTTTCCTTCCAGCACGGGATGATCAGGAATGATTTTATCAGGCATCGTGACATTCGTCAGCTATGACCTGTTTCTCAAAGCTTACAAGTGGTACTAGCTACATTTGTCTTTATATACTAAGTTCATGTTTCTCGAAGAATTAGGATTCCACTTGTAATTACAACTGTGCGAGATTATTATTTTTAATTTGTGGGACCCCAATTTTTCGTCAATATCGGAGCGGGTCATTCCCGGCCTCTGACTGATGTGAGATGGATTGACTCCTTTACCGAAAAAGGGAAAGAATAATGGGGTCTCCGTTACTGTCATTTTCTTTTTGAACATGTGACTACCGCCACAGTACGGTACAAGCGTTTATACCAGATTTTGTTGCAAGATTTTCAGAGACCGAATTTACAAGTATTAATAAATATGAGCTATTAATTGCAAACTGGAGGACTTCTAAACCCTTATTCTTGAAGGCTTCGCAAAATAGGCCGCAGGTGGTGCCTTGACTGTATATCTAATAATTATACAGATAAGATGATGGAGTAATGAACGATAACTATGCTGTCCGATTGATCCCACGAAATGGATGAAATAAACCTCTCTGTATGACTCTTCATCGGGTATGATCTTCAGGCAGAGTGAAAACCAAGCTTATTCGATTCCAAAGACAATTCAACTAAGCGTTCAGTCAATAACTTTGTCTTCGTTTTTAGGGGAAATGATATACGGTACTGTATGTTGAAAGAGTTCTTGTTGTTTTCCAACAGGCGATGAGAGCGGGTGTGGAAGACTACTTGACATTAATCATGGATTTTTCAAGGTATCATGTGGCATGCCACTTGAAGAACTCCGTGATAGCAACAGCTCTAAGTGTGTAAAAAACGGAAGATACACGATTGGAAGCGAAGTACGATATTCATGCGATCGATTTTATAAGCTGGAAGGACCACCGATTCGGACTTGTACCGAGAAAGGACAATGGAGTGGAAATCAGCCGTTCTGTGAACCGGGTCTGTTTCTATCAAAATATTTCGTTCATACCTGGCCCATTCTGAAAGTGGAGGATTCGTTATCTCACACTCAGAGTGCGGGAGGCAGGTGCTGCAAGTGTCGTTGTCAAGCGGTGGAAAGCCATCCTCCATCGGAGAGTGGCCATGGCAGGCAGCCCTTTACGACGTCAAAGTGGGGGACGTCATTTGTGGAGGGGCTCTCATTGAAGAGGAGTGGGTGCTGACTGCAGCTCATTGTGTCGTCATCGCCGGTTCCGAGAGAGCCCGGGACCGAAAAGAGTTATTGGTGTACCTTGGGAAATATAATCGATCGAACAGTATGGACGATGAATACGTGCAAAAGAGACAAGTTCGTTTAGCAAAAAATTATCGTGCATACGTTGTAGCATTGCACCATGACGGATTACGTTGGAATCTCTTCACAGGTGTCAGAGATATTCCTGCATGATGAGTTCAACGCGCGAAACTTCGACTCTGATATTGCCCTGATGAAGCTGACCGAGCCTCTGGAGCTGACTCCGCGAATTCAGTTGATATGTCTCCCGAAAAAAGATTCTGACCTCAATCTTGAGAGTGGAAAGACTGGATGGGTGAGAACTAGCTTGTCATATTACCTAAAGGACTGTACATACATACAGTTAGAGTTTTCGTTGAATGCATTTTTCTGCGATTCGATGATGCAGGTGGCCGGCTGGGGACAAGACGTGTCGAATCATCAAGTGGATGTCCTAACGAAGGCACAAATCCCAGTCCTATCCAATAAGGAATGTCGACGGGACACTATTCGTATCGAAGGAATACCCATCATTGCGGATACTCTCAACTCCAATATGTTCTGTGCTGGTCATGATAAGGACACTCCCCTTGAAGGTACGACCTCGAGAGCCTTGTGAGAGCCACCTTTCCGAATCCGTTGTAGCAATTTTTTTTTACTGATGCGATCGATATTATTTTATTCGCCTCAGCTGAAACTTCAGCAATAATAATAGTGATTTTTTTTGTGCTAAGCTGGTTCCCAAATGCCGATGTTTTGCATCTAATCCATCATAGGAGCAATTGGGGTTACACATTGAATTGAAAGTGATCCGAAATCCTGAAGAGATTTTTCGGATCTATAATTTCGCATATCATGACACATATTAGGTACAAACCTAATTTCTCTTTGGATGCAGTACTCCCAAGATGTACCCATAAATATGAAGTATTGCTGCAGGAAATTTTTGGAGGAGCCGAATTATTGTTTATTCCTCTATTATTTGCCACAGACTTTCCCCCGATCAATTCCCTAGTTGGAAGCCCGTATAAATAGGGAATATTGTAATTGCTGTACAGATTACAAATCAGTGTGCCCCGGGGACTCAGGGAGTCCATTGGTGTTCCCTTCCCAAAGCGGGCAAGACGGCTATTGGATGGTGGAAGGGATAGTGAGCCACTTTTTTAACAAAGAGTCTTGCTCCATGAGGCGCCCCGGACAGTATGGAGTCTTCACTAGAGTGAATAGGTGAGATCGGTATTATTCCAGTCCGAAACATTTACATTTACATTTCCTCCCTTCTCCTCATTCATCATCCTGCGAATTGTAATCTTTTCGTTTCTCCCCGGTTAGGTTCATCCCATGGATTGAACGTACAAGGTGGAGAAATGTATCACCATAGGCTCCGACCTACTGATCTTCCGAGTGACCTGACACTCTTTCTCTGCGATCTGTTATTTCTCCGCTCATTACTTAGAATAACTAAGCGATACTGCCAATCAGTCCTTTCAATCCTGGACTAAGTATCTTCTTGATATTTTGGAAACTGGACAGTGGAAAATTAATGCTAGTTTTCTACATTCATACAATTTCATCTAATGGGAAGAGCATTACTCTTCCTCACATCGCAAGTAAAGGTTCACGATTTGCGGTTAGACAGAGCAAGACTTTTCTGCCTATGTTGATAGCCGCAGTTAAATTCGGAAAGCGGAAACCTCATCTGTTGGGCAAAAGATGTGTTCGCATTTGAGCAAGAGTAGTGGACATGTGCACCATGATCGCCCAACCGCACTGCACCGCGGTTCCGCAGCGTCGATTCCGACGATGCACCATGGGCACCAGGTAAAGCTGATGATCCTGATCCTGGTTCTCATCCCCTACCTGACGTATTGGGAGGAGTCCGGAAAGCTGTATCAGCGGCACTCTCGGGATTTGAAGATCACATCCTCCTTGATGGGTCTGGACAAATCTTTTCAAATGAAGCAGATGAACTGACTTGAGGCATCTCTTCATCAATAACTGCCATTCATTTTAGAAATAAGACTGGCTCTTATGGGTAAATGCCAATATGATGTCCATTTACGTATTCATCTCGTACGTACGGAATCTTTATCGCAATGTGAACAAGAAGCTGACATGAGGTCTCATTTCTTTCAAAAGTTCCATGGACATTACTGGATCGAAATCTATCCACATGACACACCATGGGAAAACTTGTGAAGTGTATTATGTTTCAATATATCTACACACACAAAAAAGTCCAAGCCGCTCAACTCCGAATGTCATGGAAAGTATGAAAACTCTTCCTGAAACGTGAAAATTTCCCACGAACGTATTTGTATTTCCCACGTATTTGCAGAGGAGAGTCTTGTCCTACAAAGGTGAAGTGTTCTCAAGAGGCGTATACATTGGGCAATGCAATAATTTATAGTAACGGTAATAGTAATATGGTAACGGTGAAGAAAAGGATTCACGTTTTCCACATTCAGATGCGAAATTTGCTTTCTGAGTGACACGCAGGCAATTCCATGCTTTAAATAAATATTCCCGTCTATTGGGATATTTAATATCGAAAGTAGAAAAGGATTACTCCCAGCGCCCCACGTTATGCACAATCGTGTCCAATGAAATTATTGCCGGTGTTATTGCATAGGTCTTCCCCAGTGCGGTAAATACGTCCATGGGTTCCGCTCGGTGTGTCAAATAGACCGAATTATAAGCCAAATATGGTTAACACACTTGATTTTGATGTAACCTTCGGAAGTTCGTGAATTACCAACTTGGCTCCAGTGCCATCTAGGGCTCATCCGATAGCCACATTTGGTGAATGGATCTAAGGTCGACGATGATCTCATCGGTCGGTGCCGGTACCGCTGCCGATGGTGACATGTAGACAAAGAGTGACGAACTATGGTATCAAATATTTAATTTTAAAATACCTAATAAATATTGTTCAATTTTTTCAATTTTGTTTGAAAACATCAATGGATCGATTGTTCCGAACTATCTGATTCTGCCCCTTTATACCTACTCCCACTCTACCTATGGCTCAGACGTGATCCAATATTCCGAACAACGGCGTGTCCCAATTTGCCTAATCCCATAGTACCTAACCTGGCAACGACACCGTGTCCCAATCCGCCGAATGCTTTTAACCCACTCCACCTATGATTCGTAGCAGTCCCAATGTTCCGAAGACGGACACATCCCAATCCGCCTATTCCACGCATTCACCTGAATGCGAAGGTCCCATTTTTCCTAAGGATTCGAACTTGCAACTTTCGGTTTAGGAGTTGAGTAATCTTGCGCTACGCTACGTATTGCATGTGAATCTTCACTGCTCTTCCAAGAAGAAAAAAGGCTTCGAAGTCGTTCTTGGCCTCTTCATCATTAGAGGTCTGCGCGGATACGATATCTTTGTAATTGTATCCGCTTGTGGAAATCCAAATCTAATGTTTTAAAATGAATTTATGTCCGAGAAAACCTTCAAAGGCAGTTTGCGGCCTAGGATGCTGTGTAACTGATCTGCTACGTTCAGGACTCAAGGAAGAATGCTAGTTGGTCGAATTTAAATTTTTTACATGCTCTTCTTGAAGATACGCGCATGCTTGCCTTCTTTTCACGCTCCGTTGAAGCATGCAAATATTCAGAAAATATTCGGAAATAAGAATAATGTACAGAAGAAGGAATTCCGGTTCAAAAGAATTTTTCTTCCCGCAAAATCTCGTGATATCCTAGTCAAATGGATATCAATGGACTCGACTCCTCTGTCGAGTTCCGGATTTCATGTCGCACATATAGGTAGTATACTCCTTTCAGGGAAAAAAAGTTAATTGAGTTCAATTACGAGTTGAATCATTTACGATTGGTGTTCCCTCAGCATGCAGCGCTTGTCACGGTCCTAATAATCAGCACTTATAAAAACCGCTAAGGCGATTTTCGCAGAACAAGCCGCTCACGTCACAACCTGGACGAAATGGTGCCGCGCAACTCNGGAGGAATGCAAATACCAGAGGGAAGTGCCTTGAAGAACTCAACTGAACACGGGAATTAAATCATAAATCAGGAAATTTATTTAAGCAGCTCTGCAACACAGTAAAAATAAAGTACATTTGGTGAAGTGCACACTGCCAACAACTATCAGGAGCTATTACTAAGTTCAGAATTCCTTACCGAAGAAAAGGAAATATCACTTGACAACTTGTGTTACTCCTTTACTCCTAATACTACTTTGTGGGGATATTTATCGATTAATTTTGCATTAAATGTTATTTATTCTGGGAAGTTTGAAATTATTTCAAAATGTATCACCTCTAATTACTGTTGGTAGCGTTGCTTGCCTCGGTATGAAGAACATAGAGTTGAGGAAATATGAGCGATCCAATTCCATGCGTCCTATCCATGTAAATTAAGGTAGCTGAAGCAAACTTGGCAAGGTTTTCGGACGTTCCAAATAACAAGATCCTGTCAATGGTTCCATCATCCTTCAGGAGGAAGCGCCACCCATCCAGAGTCTTGGTCCACTGCTCGCCCAGTTGCAAAGTGGCGCGATTTCTCGGCATTTTCGGGAGACCGGCTTTGCGATGTCAATAAAGGGTCGACTTGACTGTGGAGAACGCTGGCATAGCGTCGGGGTCGTTTGTCATCCCTGCTGCTTCCTCTCTGGGAATAAAGACAAATGCCATGAGATATCTGGAGTCAACTCTGAAGTAGCATTTATATTTAAACTTGATTAGATGACGGCGGCAATATTATTAACCAATGTATCAGACTCGACTTTCTAATTCTAAGCATAAATCTAGCTGAGAATCTCCAAAATAAAGCACAAAATACCCAGAATGCATCATCCTATTCACAAGAAAATCGAACCACCTGTAAATGCAGGGAATTGAACTGCAGGAAGACTTGGCTTTCCTCTTGAGACTTTCTTTCACTGTTGACATTTTCACCGGTAGCGTCGGTTCCGGATGTTGGTGCGTCCCAGAGACTGAGAAAACCATCTCCGCATTTGTTTCTCTTCCAGTGATACAAGTCACTGGACAATTCAATGAGCCTTCAGAACATCTCCAATAACTATTACTTTCACCCTTCCTATTAATGCGGAATGTGAATCCTTTGTAGTATAAAAGCTGACCGCCACGCGGACCCGGGACGAACGTCACGCTTTCCATGATCCTACGAAGGCCCTGCACGTATGAGATATATGAGAGAAGCTTATATATATATATATATTATTTTAATCGGAAGCAAGTTTTCTTCTTGGGGGCTACCTGTAGGAACAGTGGGAATACACCATCTTGGAGCGTGCCATTATGCCTACTCGGTTATTTTTTTCCCCATGCTTCTTCCTCCCCATGTTTCGGAACAATGGGCCAGGAGTGGCTTGTATGTTGAATGAGCGAAGCCCACATCAATTTGACCTTGAGTAGGTAAAATGGGACAAATAATTTTTGCCTTGTAGGCAGTTCGGAACTGTGATGCATAGGCAGATTGGAACTGTGTATTCAGGAATTGGTCTGGGTATCATGGGTGTAGGTGGAATGGGGCAACACGCGAACGATTTATACTGAATCTATGCACGGAGGGGGAGGGGGGGGGGGTAGATTCAATCAGTATTCGTCGCGACCGGGTGGAGATTTCCCTTCAGTCGTTTCTTCCTTCCATTGGTGCGCGGATCTCTGTCTTTCATCATCTCTTCTGTTATTGGGGAGGGGGGGTGTGGACCTTAGAGACAGGTAATGAAGCCAACGATGCCAACTATAGAAATAATCGAACATTAAGTCGAATACCATCGATGCGAATGGCCGATGCCGCCATACCGACGGTCGTTACCAGTTGTAGCCGATGCATCGGTACAGCCCAAATGTATGGTTTTCGTCGGCGTTGCTATCATTTCCAATCTGATGTCAGGGGTCAACAGTGATGAGCACTGTCTCTTTATTAGAAGTATCAATTATTCTCATATTACTCAAAATCAAGGTTTGCATACCCTTCAATGCTAGAGGCTTTCATCCTTCTTTCACGGAAGAATAATGGCCTCAATCAGCATGTCCCGCATGTGATTTATATAGTTGCCCAGATACTCGTTCGTACGGAAAACATTTCCTAATCCCCTCATGATTATTGCTTTCGTAATTCCACTCTCCTCTGGTGCCCTCATCCGAATCTTTCCAACAAAAATCCCGGGCGGTGGAAATATGAAAGGAAGGGGCTCGCCTTCACGGATTTCGACCCCCATACTCATAAACGCTA